CGAGTCAGTGTTGAGTGGATAGCGAAATATGTAAATGTGGTATGAAAAATAGAGAACCCTCCCATCAATCAAGTAGTCAGCCAGACGAGTGAAGGAGTGGAGCAGAGGGAAAAACTAAGCTCAGCCGGCCACCTTCTGTGTAGACAGCATAAAGCAGACTTGTAGAGCATCAGGAAATAGGTGCAAATAACTGACAATGTATGATGGAATGAGACTAGCGCTGCTGTGCGCTACTCCGCAGGGGTCGAAACGGCTCTGAGGACAGTCTGGTGGTATGCTTCATAAGAACCCGTTAGATGCATTTTTGTCAAGCACAATGATGAGGCATCTGTTGAGAAGCACACACGGCGTGACAACATCGCAGACAGACTAAGAGATTGGAAAGGTGCAAGACAAAGAAGAGATGGAGGGCACAAAATCATGCATACACACCAAAACACACACAGACACACATACAAGCACATAAACAGGCATGCACGCAGACACGCACAGAGAGAAAGAGACATTCACAAGCCTACGAACCGGCAATTGCATTTGCACTTGCACTTTTGAGACTACAAACAAAAGCCTGGGCACACCTACATCTGTGCATGTGCCGAGCACAACTAATCGGAGACGATAATAAAATGAAGCCTTTAAGAGTTTTATTTCAATTACTATTTATATATTTCGCCATCACAGTCATTTCATAGAACTCTAACTAGAATCGACATCGATTTCTTTTGCAAAAGTTTATCTGCCTGACGAATTGCACCAAAAAAGGGACAAAGGAAATCAGTTGCAATTGGGCAATACCGTCCACGGGTGGCGCAAGATTCGCACCCTTCAGAGCTGATACCAAAAGCGATTTGGCAGAAGTCCAAACGAAGCTGGAAAGCAAGTGGACTAAGTGTCTCATTAAACATCACCCTCTACGTACAATGAATATATTTTAGCAAATTATTTGAGACGTATTCTTCCCATTTCGTTTAAGGTGATGAAGAAATTTGCCAACAATGTTATGGACAAGCCTCATGTTTCTATTGAATTGCTGAGCATCGCTGCCCAGAGGTATTCTCAATCAGGATGGACTTTAAACGAAATAAAATAAATATATCTCATATATACATGTATATATTTAAGTCCACCCTGATATGTATATATATATATATTTATATTTATATATAAACATTATGGAATTGGAGAAGGCTAGTGTGGATACGTAATGCATTTGGTTCATTTGGATGCTTGCACAAGACCAACAGTTTGGGATGCCCTCTGCGTGAACTGGATGATAAGACTGGGAGCCAAAATAAGTTGAGATCGTGGCCAGATCCATGTGGAAATGGCTAAAACTCACTGGAACCGAATGTCCCTGAAATGCCCGAATCTGGGTCCTAGACGGGTTATTTGGGTCGCTGCGAAGTTCGAAACGCTGCTTGTTGTTCTTCTCCACCACCGTTATCACTTCTTCCTCCGAGACGCCCTTGAACTGACGCAGGTTGAGCACTTCGTCGAGGTAGAGGAATCCACCTAAAGAAAATAAGAAGAGTGCTTTTACAGAAAGCAAGGGGTTAAGAGCAATCGTGTCCGGGGTTGGCAATACCCCTTCGGACGATCCCTAGATCCCACTACAATTTAGAGCAACACATAAAATAGGCGAGCACAAAAGTTGACATTTTGATAAATGGCAAGCAGTCGGAAAGCCGATCAGAACAACGACAAGCCGTCAGGCCACTTGGACTCGAATTTTCTATCCGACGCTCGACAATACTGACAGTCACGACCGAGACCTTCTTAATGCATAATGGCCAGAGAAAAATGAACCATAATTGTCTGCCCTCGAGGGCGAATCAGGAGCAGATATTTTAAGGCTAGACTTGTGCAATCATTGGATCGTGTTAATTTTGATGTTGATGAAGATGCAAATATTGGTGTTGACTTTGATGTTGATATTGATAGCCATGTTAATGTTGATGCTGATAATGAACGAGAATACTAATACTGATATTGATGCCGATGCGGTGTTGTTTCTGGTGCTGATACTTATTTTGATATTGATGTTGGCATTGACGTTGGTGCCGAAGATGATGCAGATAAGCAACGTGAAAAGATCTTTTAAGCGAGCTGACTCAGAGGCAGATACGAGGCTGAAGCAAATGGGCCTACCAGATTTCGGATGTGAAAAAGGAGATCAGTTGAGGCAAGACGTCGTCTTGAATGCGTGAAGAGGTGGTGCCAAGCGTAGAGCGTGAGGACGAGAGCACCGTGAAGACATCGACCTGGCGAGGAAGGACGAGGAGATGGTGTGCATGTTGAGTCGGCTTGTGATTGGTGCCAGAGGGTCTGACGCGGCTTAGGGCGTGGAGGCGGGGCTGAGGTTGGTGC